AATCAGAGCAGGACAGCGGCATGACAATAGAAACAATGGATACCAAAAAGCAGAAATTGGACAATACGCCACAGAGGGACACATGCAGGATGAGAACAACAGGCTTTATTATGCTAGATATGTTGGGAGTTATAGGAGATTTTGCACTTGACCTAATGTTTCCATGGGAACTTGTTTTTATTTTAATTTTTTTAAATAGGGATGCTTTATCATTCGGTCATCTGCAGATGATTATGCTGCCTAACATTTCATTTCTTTTTTTGAAGTTGTATCAAAGATTCACTCTGATATCTTTAAAAAAACTAAGAGTTTTATAATAGTTTAATTATGAATTCCAAGTTTGTAAAATATATACATGATTTGATTTCCTTGTGTGGACAGTTTGTGCTCTTTTGTCTTTTCATGTGCAAAAAAACTATTTTGAAAACACACTTTTGGTATGAATTCATTTATTTAGCTCTACTGTCCAACAATTATGTTTTCCTGCTTAACCACAAAGGTTCAACTAAATCGCCCACTGCGTGAACTCTGCTTTCATTTGTGTATGAAAAGAGGAAACATGAATGGTTTAAGGAAGAAAAGAGCAAAGGGCTGAGTAGGTTCTCAGCTCTGTGACTTGCTGTCTTTAAACGGACCACATCTATTGATCCTGAAGCCCACTTAAAGACAAGAGAGTACATCTCCAAAGTGAAAATAAAAACTGAAGAACATTTAGATGTTGAATTTGAACTTTGTGTTGCAGTACCAGCTTTCAATTATTTTCTCAGCTTGTGATTGTGTAGGAGAGGAAGATGCACCAAGCTTGACTGTATTAGTTTCTATATATATAAATATTTTTTTATCCAAATATTTTGTATGTATTTATAACAACATATAAAGCTTTTTGGTATGTAATTATATGTATGTATGGATGGATGGATGGATGGATGGATGGATGGATGGATGGATGGATGGATGGATGGATGGATGGATGGATGGATGGATAGGATAGGATAAAAAAGATGTGTGCAACAGCTTAGTAAACAACCCTTATTTGTTCAGGGTTATGAACAAAGGACTTTAATCTGAGGACGTTGGTGAAAAAGTTCATGTGTCATATAGTCCACAGAATCTAAATTGATCTAAGCTTTTATATAATTACATATTTTATTGTGATTATAAAATTTATTTCAAGAAATGTTTATAAATAAAAAAAAAATAGTACTATTACAAAAAATGTAAAATAATGTCAGAAAATGGCAGCTATAGCTCTAACGTAGACACGGTGCTTTGTTTATGTTTATGCATTTAGCATAGGCTTTTATCCAAAGTGACTTACAAGGTGGACACAATGTTACAGTTATCATCAATTAGACAATAAGTTCTCTTGAGAAAAATCCCAAGTCGGAATCAGTGGTAACAGCAAGAGAGAGGGAAGTGCAGAAAGAGTAGTAGAGGGGTACAGAGCTATGGGTAAGAGTTAGGATAGGGTAATATTTTCTGAAGAGGTTGGTCTTTACATGTTTCATAAAGATAGATAGGGATGCTGCTGTTCTTGTAACATTTGGTAGGTCATTCCACCATCTTGGAACAACCCGTGAAAACAGTCTGGATTGTCTTAAGCGTAGTTAAGGCACTGCTAGACGACAACCCGATGCTGACCAGTGACCGAGCTGTGCCATAAGTCTTTACGAGAGCCGTACCCTTAGGCGCTTTGTAGGCTAGCATCAGGGACATGAATTTGATGTGGGCAGCCAGGGGTAACCATTGAAGCTCAATGAACAGAGGGGTGATATGAGATTTTTTGGGCTGCTTTTAGACCAGACACGCCATTCTGGATTATTTGTAAAGGTTTTACTGTACAGTTTGGGAGACCAGTCAGGAGTGTGTTACAATATTTAAGGCGGGATATAACCATTGACTGAACCAGCAGCTGGGTAGCATGTCGGGTTAGGTATGGCTGGATCTTTCTTATGTTTAGTAGTGTGAAGCGACAAGATCAAGAAACAGAGGTAACATGATCTTTAAAGGTCAGCTGGCCATCAATCATGATCCAGTCTGGATGTGAATAGTGTGGTGTATGGTTTATTTGGCTTAGCTTTTAGTCTGTTTGTGTAAGTTTTCAGTGCCTTTTAGGGTCTAATAGATGCCAGAAGCTCAAAAACTGTGTCAAGTATGAGATATTGCTTTGATAATTCCGGGCTGTGGGGAAAACCCACTGTAGAGATTTTCTATGTATCAGGGTGCAGCTGGAAAACCACACATAAGATACAGTAGGTGAGGATGTTCTCTGTAAAGTACCAGTTGAAGGACACTAGTGACTTTTGTTTAGGATGGTGATTCCTAATTACTATGAGAAAGTGCAGCCTCTTTTGTGCATCTTAAAGTCAGTGGTGGTGTGGACATGTCAGGTTGTCCTCTATCGTCACATCAAGAAACTGGAGATCTTCTTGACACAGTCACCACTGATGGGCATTGAAGAGGTGGAATGTGTTGGGTTTTTTTCCATCCGGAAGACTGTGGTTAGCTCATCAGGTTTTACACAGTTTTACACAGGTTACATCCTTTTATAAGGTTTTAATTCTTTTTTTTTTTTACTTCATAAGGAATCTTGCAAATTAAGGAATGGAATTATACCATTGCAATAATTAGGCAATTTAATTTTAGAAATTGCTTTCTTACAGATATAATTCATAGTTGTTTCATGAATCCTTTATGCAGTTTTGTATTGAATTAATCTGCTTTTAAAAGGTAGAAGGCTCAGAATGCTTGGCTAATTTACAATAATAATTGGAAAAGTAAATTAACTACTGTTAATATTTATTTCTTTAGATAAAGAAGTAGCTGATATTTTAATATTCTGCAATAAATACGGCAATATTCAACTGTGAACTTTTCACTTTTTATTATATATAAGCTGAAAATCACACATACTTTGAGAATGGCACATAGCAAATAACTGTGAAGTGGAAGAAAATGTACCCATGATTTTTAAAAGTGTAGACAAAAAGCAAAATATTGGAAAGTAACACAGTGATTTTATTTTTATTTAGCATCCTTTACATCTACACATCTGAAGGAAATCTACAGCAGTGAATTACCTGGAAGTCGCTTAATTAATTAACAGATTTCACCTGTGGGGTAATTTAATTTCAGCATTGATACAGCTGTTCTGTGGAGGCCAGTCATTAGAAAACATTAGGGAATCCCAGAATAACTTGGTAACAAGGCACACAGCAGACAGGTCAGATAAAGTTGTGGGGATGTTTAAAGCAAAGATAAATTACAAAGAAACTATATCTATATCTATATTGAATGTCTAAGAGAGCACTGCTCAGTCCATTACCCATCATTCATCCAAAATAGAAAGATATGGCACAATAGCACATCTATCAAGGCATGGCTGTTGAAATCAAAGTGGCCAGAGAGCAGAGTGTTAAAAAAGAGAAGCCACTGTAAATCCCACCAATCTGGAATCAATAGAAGAGTGGCAAGAGAAAATGCACTGGTGAAAAAAAAAACATTAGAATCTTCATTTGGAGTTTTCACTCTATTCTCACTAAAATACTGTATATTAAAGTTTATGTATATAGCACAGAATGTGGAAAACCCAGAGTGATTGCATTGACTTTTCAAGTCAGTGTCATCACCAAATTATGTAAATCTTCAGCTCAACAGGTTGAGAAAATTTATTGCCTGACTAGAAACTGTCAGTTGCAGAATTATCTTTGTTTACCCCTGATGTACATATTTAGAGATCTGCATGCCGGCACACACACATACACTTTAAACCTCCTAGCTGTTTTGTTCATTTATTGTGGAGCTCAGCAGGTGTTAGTGTGTTTGTCTTTTACACGAGGACGTTTGTTTTCCCAGGAATATAATCAAGCTCTTATCAGCTTTGTAATACCAAGCAGGAAATCACCACTGATGGCTGTGGCACAAGCGCACATCTAACCAATTTGGACACTTTAATTGAAATGTGATTACTCTGTCTGAAACTCTTATCGGGGTATCATTACAGTGTGAGTGTAGTTAAGATTGATGGGAAACTGCTCTGAGATTTATGTTTTTACTTCAAATGTACCACGTATATGAGTGTAGGCTGAACCAATAAACACCAAACATCCGCTGCAGGGTTTTGCGTCACCTGTTCACACTTTATGTGTGGCTTCCCTTTGCAAAGGGGAGAAAATAAGTTTGCTTTCTATCATTTTACTGCCCTTTTATGTGCTCGGTGGTGTGGTGATGACTGGTAATCATTGCAGCTGCCATTGATAAGAACGGCTTTTTTTCTGTCAGCCTTAATAAGTTATAAAGTTTAATGAGGAATTAGCTGTAAAAATATTAATTTTGCCACAGAGATTGCAGCAATTACAGCAATATAGTTTTCAAGAGTGTTTGCTTGTGTCCAAAGATGCAGGTGCAAGGTAATATACTGCTGTAAAAGGTTTTGTGAGAATTCACATATTAACTTGGCATAAAGTAGGATCATATAAAAGGTGATGGATTACAGAGCGATAAGGTAGATGAGAATAAAATAAAGTGACAGAATGAGAACAGAACATACAGAAACAAATTAAACAAGCAGCAAGGTGTCTTATTTTAGGGGAAAAAAATCATAAATCAACAAATTCTGGGCTTTTTTTTTTTTTTTTGTAAGTATAACTTTAAGGGTGTGCTGTCAGTTTATCTAACAGAATCTAACTGACCTGACCCTGTGCTGCAAGGTCCTGGCCAATCACAGGAGGGGAGATTTTATAGCACTATTGTGTGCTGGTAATCTTTCCTTTCGCTGCTGGAGTGAGAGAAGGGGGGTTTATATGCATATGAAAGTTGATGTTGCCAGAGAAGGGACAGTTCTTCCACAAGACGGAGGGGCAGGAATTGAAACATAAATTGAAATTCCTCCAATTGCAACAAAAAAGAAAAAGAAAAAATCCTCGTTTTTTTTTTATAGAATTTAAACAAAATAGAGTGTATTTTAACTGAATTTAGAAGTGCCAGCGTTTCGAAGGAGAATGTCTACCGCGTTTGAGAAATCGAAAAACTTTCGGATTGACGCGCTCCTGGCGCATGACGCAGGGCAAATGATGGAGAGGGATTGCCTTTCTCCGGGACTGTGTCACAGCAGGGGCTCCGAAGATAGTCCAGAGTCACCCTCTCCTCATCTAAACTTTGCAAACAGCTCTTTAACCCAGATATCCAAGCCTCATCTTTTCAACCTGTCTCAGTCAGGATTCGCCACCATGCATCAAGTAGGTATCATAGGAATGCAGGCGGAATCCGTGTATCCTCTGACTGGCCTCGGTCAGCACCCTGCCTTGATGTATCCAGCCTTTGCACAGCTGGTTCAGCCTCATCGGGAGCACACCAAGGGTGGAAACGTGGCCGCAATGCTTCCAATGGATCCGTGGATCAGAGGCGCAATGGTGATGCCCAGATTTGGAGAGTATGGAGGTGGGTTTCTTGTAAAAAGAACACAAATATCCCTTTTTCTTTCTTAAAAGTTTAAATATTAAACTTTTTATTAATATAAAATCCCTTAAGGCAGCGGTATAAACCAGATTTGTATTTTAAATTTAAATTCCAAGATATTTGATGGCATGAAATAATAAAAAAAATGTATCAGCAATTTTCCATCCAAAATCTTATGTCACTCCACCAACTTTTTTATTTAATTAATCGGTCAGAATAATACAAGCCAAGAGGCTTAGGCCTACAGTAAGAAAAAAATAAGTAAATAAAAGAAAATGTTCTTATTTTCATGTACTAAAAATCATGGAAACAAAAAAGGATAGATTCAAACATGAATAATTAATGCTTTGCAAAAGATTACTTAAGGTATTCGGAAGGTTCAATTGTTTTAGTTAATGTATTTTATTTTATTTCTTTAATCTTCATTTTCTGTCATCATTATATGTTGCTGTGATTGACAGACACACCAAGAATATCAAACCCTTTTAGTAAAAGTATCCCCACTCCTCAATCAGCTGCAGGATTTTCATTAAGGTGATGGATCTCTAGCTTTCATGTACCTCATCCAAAGCCAGCCTCTCATTGGAATAATTATGGAGGACCAAGAAGGAATATGACTTATACTATAACCTAGAGGGAAAGTGGAACTTTAAATTCAAGCTATCAGTAAAGATAATTAATAAAATGTCTGTGCTTTTGTCTTAGAACCAGGTCAGTCAGCCTTACTGGGGAAGTGTCGAAGGCCCAGGACAGCGTTTACCAGTCAGCAGCTCCTGGAACTTGAAAATCAGTTCAAGCTCAACAAGTACCTGTCCAGACCCAAACGCTTCGAGGTGGCCACCTCACTCATGCTGACGGAGACTCAGGTCAGAGAGCTGGGCGTGCATTTCTGTTTGGAGCAGGAGCAGCTGCTTCTCTTTCTGATGTTGTTTACTATCCACAGGAGTTGTACAGTCAAGTTGTATTTTGGAAAGGATGTCTTAAAATAAAATACTGAGTCAGGTTTTGGATTACACACAGATTTTTCTGTTTTGTCTGTTATTTTTTTTGTTTTTTTTTTTGTTTTCATATTTGTCCTGAATGCATTACAGCTGAACTGCTCATAAAACAGACTGACCCACTTTAATCAAATTAACAAATATATCGATTCAAGAATGTAATACTTGACCATACTGCTCGTTAAATAGACAGACCACTTCAATCCTGCTGAAAGTGTAAATTTAACTGACATATAGTCACATTTAATAAATTCCGATATTGATATAGAATTAATTTATTTTCATAACAGTATTCCCTGTTAAACACATTGCATAGATTGTTTACACACTTTCTTCCTATCATTTATGATTATTCTCAACTAAAACCTAAAGGAAACATACCATTTAAGGAATAAAATAAAATAAAGTCTTTTATCATATAAAAGAAAATAATTTTATACTTAATATAGTAATAATGAAAGGTATGTCAAATAAAGCTTTGTAATTTTTCTATGTAGTTTTATGACAACCAAGCCTCATCAGGACACATATTTTGATTTCTTCAATAGAACTGTATAGGGTAGTATAACATTATTTTGTAGTATCTTTATTTTTTCGATACATATTATTCTAAATCATAGTGTTTGGTGGAACAGCAAAGTATTATGCCCTGTTTTATAATATATACACATTTTTTCCTATTTTTCTTCATTTTTATCCTGTTCGTATTGAGTGTAGGAGTTACATGTGTTTCAGGACAAACTGAGATGTGTTTTAAACTGAAGAAGGAATTTTGAAGTCACATTTCCGTTTCTTTTTTAGGTGAAGATCTGGTTCCAGAACAGACGTATGAAGTGGAAGAGGACTCGTAGAGCAAAGGAACAAGTCTCTGCAACATCTTTGACTGACAGTATGATGGACGTGGAGAGTCTTAAACATAGTATCTGTCTTAATTCCGGCCTGGAAGTGGAAAACGGGAGAGAAGTGGGGGATGAGTTTGGAGTCGAGGAAATGAAACAGTTGAACAAAGCATCTTTAGGCTCAGTCAGCTTCACAAGATACAAAGGGAGGGGGGCAAGGAGCTACAGTTCTTACTGTAAGGAAGAGATAAAAGAGAGGAGTTGAACTTCTTAGGATATGTGTAAAGACATGTACTTACTGTATTTTTATTTTGATTTATATTTATTACGCTTTTTGTAATTGCGACTGAGTATGCCATACTGCTGTTCAAGTTTCCACCTGGAACATCTGTCAGTAAATTTGTGATGCTGTGCTGAGGTTGCTTTGTAGCCTTTACACCAAGGGTGATTAAAGTCTGCCTCAGGAGCTGACGTCATCCATGGAGTAGATGTTTCCCTGCTTTATCACACGATTTCCTTTTATTGCAAATAACTGGCTTTTACTAATCTGCAACCATCTAAATCAGATGTTTTGAAGCAAGGAAACTAAAACTTGTAGGACAAGAGCCCTCTGGGTCTGACTTTGGATGCCCCTGTTTTAAACAATTATTTTTCAATCATCACTTTTCCATCCATGTTTACAAGTAAAACATTCTAGAAAGTGAAATGAAAAGTGACCTTCTGTACATGAAAATACGGTTGATTAAAAAAACCAAAAGAACTATTTTGTAGGCACTTAAACGAGATAAACTTAATTTATTTTTGTTTACGTTTTCAGGCATATAGCAAAGAGTAATGCATGCAATTTATTTATTGTTTTTCTTGCTCTATGAAAAAAGAATTGTCCTAGTATTTTAAAGGGTTTTCATTTGGATGTTTTTAACTCGTACGCCTTTGTGTTCTTCTTCAAACTTGAATAAAAACACTGTAACTGTGTAATATGTTGTTTGTTTGATGGAATATAGACCTAAAAACTGTAGTAAGCAGGATTTTATTTTTTTTCATAGGTGCAATACTTTTTTTATTATGACTACTAACTATTCAATAACTTGCTGCTATTATCCAGTTAAAATTAGTTATTGCATTGTAAATATATTTATATAGGCAATATTTTGACTAACATTTGTCAGATTATAAAAGAAAAAAATAGAAAAAACCCAATTTAAGGTATCTCTAAATTTTAATAACAAAAACAAATTTTACAGAAATATCTATGTTGAACTTGAATTTTCATCTGTAAATTGTATATTTTTCATATTTAGACTTAGATTTATTTTGTCATTTTGTATACACAAATGTAAACAAAAAGAAATTTAATTTAAAACAACCTAGACAATTTCATTTTTAAAGTGCAGCCTTGTATAACGTTAATAAATACATAAAAAATACTAATATAAATATATGACTGTATATTTGCAGTTCTAACATTAATTTATATATATATATATATATATATATATATATATATATATATATATATATATATATATATATATATATGTATAATTGTTTCTGCTCATATGTACAATGATAACTATATAGGAGTTAGTCAC